GGGAATGCCAAGTGCAAGAGGCAGAAGGAAACCACACAGCTTGCTCTTTGAAGGTTAATTCTTTCACTTTGCAGTGCAGCTCTTCACCTCCAGAGTCATGCCAAGGCGGGATTCTCTGGCACTGTACATATGCTTTGAACTGTAGCAGTGGGCCAGCGCCTCTCCAGGGCTGTCCTCTGCTGGGCAGCCTGCGGGCTGACCGGCACTCAGTGCTGTCTCCAGCGAGCACGCCGAGCACGCACGGCTCTTCCTTCTCGGCGCCCTCTCTGCACGCCCCACATTAGTGAGGTCACATGAGTGGATGTGTCTCTTCTCTGCCATCTGGTGATTCATTCTTTCTCCCCCTGCCTGAGCCGCGGGAACTGCTTGTGCGCTGCCAAGTCAGATGGAGAAGACGCTGCCTGTGACCTGCAGAAGCGCGGTGTCTTCAGCGCTGCCTCATCTACTCAAACCTTGGGTAAGGGATGAGTCGAGGTTTTTAAAAATCCCACAAAATGAACACTGTCATTTGTCAGAGAATTAGTAAGTGAAGTGGCAGGGTCCTGTGTGTGGGATCCAGTCACAGTGAGGATGAAGGTAAAGGATTCACACACTTACATTTGTATGTCAAAATAGACTGAAAAATGTACCGTGTCATGCTTGAGTTGGTTTCCTAGGGAGGTACCACAAATGACCACAGACTCAGGGTTTTCGAACCACAGGAAACCACAATCCTGGGGGCCGGAAGTCCACTCGCAAGGTGTTGGCAGGGCTGGCTCCTTCTGGAGGCCGGAGGGAGAATTCGCCTCCTGCCTCTTTTGACTTGCAGTGTTCCCAGTGATCCTGGATCTTCCTTGGCTGACAGCTACCTCCATCCAGTTTTTGCCTCTATAGCCACACGACATGCTCTGTAGCTCTGTTCCTGTGTCCGAATTTCCTTCTTGTTATAAAGACACTAGTCATTGGGTTAGAGTCTAACTTAATCCACTATGAATCACTTTAACTTGATATATGTGAAAATGAAACCCTATTTCCAAATAAGGGCAGACCCCTAAGTCCTGGGGATTAGGACTTAAACATATCTTTTGATAGACACAATTCAACCTAAAGTCTAACAGCAATATAGTAAAAACAGACTTTTCAATAAATGGTGCTGTTTGTTAATAATGATACACAGAAAAGAAAAAAGGAATCTCAACTTTTTTTTATAATTAAAAAAAAATTTTTTTAAGCCTAACTATAAGACCTAAAACTATAAAGGCTTTAGACAAAAATATGAATGAAAATCTTTGTGACCTTGGACAGATATTGCTTAGAATTGACACCAAAAGCACAATCTATTAGAGAACAAATTGATGAATTGAATTTTACCAAAAAAAAAAAAAAGTCTGCCCTTCACAGGACATTGTTAAGAGAATGAAAAGGCAAACTACACAGTGAGCTTTGCAAAGTATATACCTGCTAGAGGACTTGTACCCAGAATATAAAAAGAAATCTCAAAAGATCAAGAATAAGAAAACGCAATTTAAAACACCTAGCAAGAATCTCCACCAGAGAAGATAGATTGTGATGAATAAGCAGGTGAAAACATGTTCAATATTATTATCATTGGGGTATTATAAATAAAACCATAATGAAATACTGTAATACTCCTATTTTAATTTCTAAAAATTAAAAAAAAAAAAAAGAACAAAACTGACCAAGCCAAAGGCTGGTGAGAATGTGGAAGAAATGAAATTCTCATTCACTGCTGGAGGGAATGTAAAATGATAGACTTTGGATGAGAGCTTGGCAGTTTAAAGAAAAGAAAAAGTAAAGTATATATCTATGATATGTTTGTAGCCATTCTACTCCTGAATACCTGCTACCTAAAAAAAAAGAAAATATGGGCCTTAAAAAGAACAAATGCTCATAGCAGCTTAATTTATAAAAGCCAAATGCTTCAAACAACCTAGATATACAGCGACATATGAGTTGCTAAGGAATGAATTATGGGATAATTTATACAACAAATTCCAAGGTTGATTGTGGTTATATTTGGATAAGTAAGTAATTAAGGTTAAATGAGGTCATAAGGGTGGGGCCCTGAGCGGACTGGATTAGTGTCCTTTTAAGAGGAGGCATCCACGTTCCTTTGTTCTCTTGACACCAGAGGATATAATGACTCAGTGGCCATCTGCAAGTCAGGAAGAGTCCACATTGGCATTCTGATGGACCTCCAGCCCCCAATGCAAAGAGAAAATAAATTTTTATTCAGTCATCCAGACTATGATACTTTGTTGTGGCAGAATAAGTAGACTAATACATGAGAGAATAAACAGTGATATAGCTACATAGTGGACTACTACTCAGCCACAAAAAACAATGAACTATTGACATACACATGATATGGATTTCAAAATAAATTCTGAGTGAAAGAAGCTAGACTGTCCTTCAAAAAAAAAAAAAAAAAGGCACACATTGCAGATACCATTTATAGGAAACTCTAGACAATGAAAAATAACCTAGAGTGATAGACAGTACCTTGGAGCTGGGGTTATATAGGAAGGGGTGGAGGGAGTTATTAGAGAGCATACCAGAAAATTTGGGAGAGAGGGACCTATTCACTACCTTGATGGTGCTGATGATTTATTGGGGCATTCCTATGTCAAAAAATTAAACTGTATATTTTAAATAAGTGCAGTTAATTGTATACTAATTATATACCTCAATGAAAAACGTATGCTTCTTTTATGTCAGATATTTTGCTGCCTGTTTTCATGGAATATTCATTTAATTTAGAAAATACTGTGTGATAGGGATAAAAGTGAATTTCTGAGAAGAGTAATATACTTATGGAATCAGAGGTATTCTATGGAGAGGAGGGGGAGGGGAGAGTGTGAGGAAATGGTAGTGGACTGAGCAATGAAGGAGGCAGGATAGAAGGAAAAGATGGGGCAGATTGCTTTTTCCAACAATGGACATGTTATTTCTCTTGAAGTGTGGTTCTTACAGTTTTCTGATTGAGAGGTGGAGTGTATGTTCTCTCTTTTGTAACATGGAGGAGAGAGGACTTGTGACTACTTCCTGTGACTTCATGTTATGTGACTTCTAAACTCAGAAGCAGTGACTCAGCTTCTGCCTGAAGCTGTGATGGTCACCTTGGGCACCAGCCGCCTTGATGTGAGCAAGCAAAGAGCCACAGGCGAGGGGCCTGTTGATCGTGTCATCTGAGGTCTTAGTTGATTGTCATTACCAACCACCACTCATATTGGTGAACAAGCCTTTGGATGAATGGAGCCCCCACCCTTGTGTCCCCCCTTGCCTCTGAGTCTTCCCAGCCAAGGTCATGACACTGTGAACAGAGAGGATGATCTATCCTTCCAGAATTCCTGGCTCATTTGATATATCTCTTTATGAACAATGATAATGAAATGCATGAAAGGGAAGAAAGGAAGAAACAGAAATGATAAAAGCTAGGATCCAGGCTTTCAGAAAAATAAGGTAGAAGAGGTAAACAAAATGTGATTAAGGCATTCCCTTTCCTCAAGTGATCTAATAAGACATAGCTCTCCTGTGGTTCATTTTGTGCAAAACCTGTAGGTACTTATGTGCAGTATGTGTAATTAACACCAATATCTACCTCATATACAATTTTTCTGAAGTCATTCTTCTTCAGACGGGAAGCATTTGCGGAACTATGGCAGTGGAAAGGGAATTTTGAAACTCACTTGGAGGGAAGAGTATCTTTTATCTTAGAGTGTGAACTGAAATTGATCTCCTGTTCTGTGTTCCTCTCATACTTCCTGCATCACACCATTAAACACCCTCCCAGGGACCAGGAGCTCCAGGAGATGGTTAGATCACTTCAAGCCCAGTATCCCGGGGACCATATTTGCAGGATGTGGGGCATGATAACCTCCTATGGGTAGGATAGCAGCTGTTCCAAATTTTAACACACAATCTAAAGGGAAACAGCCACTGAATCATTCTCAGGGCTAGTGATGAAAGGATGATGGAAGCGTTGGTTTGCCCACGTTCACATAACTGGGATGCTGGGGAGCCTCCTTTGGACTCAAGCTAATGAGTTGATTTTGTTATTACATTTTTTTTTTTTTTTTTGTCTTCACATCACACTCTGCTCTTAAAGAGGCTGTGTGAGGCTGCCTTTCATGGGAGTTAAAAGTTCATTTGCTGAAGGATGAAGACGAGCATAGCCTGGCGATCAGTCTATCACATAACAAATTACAAAGTGCATTGTTCTGGGTCTCAGACTGTCTCTGACTTTTCATACATCCTACTAAAGTGCCCTTTGCATTCGAAAGGAGTCACAGGACTACTCTACTGCTGCCCAGCTCAAGTCGGTGGTAGTCTAATCTGCATATGTTTAAGAGAGAGAGGTTCTCAAAGTTTGGTCCTGGGGCCAGCAGTATACTCAGCAAACTTATCTTGTTCATATTTTTTTTCTTAACTGCCAAGTTTTACAGGGTAAAGTATCCTGTAGTAATAGGAGTTCAAAGAAAGCGGTCCCTTCCATCATGTACCCACTAAGCACTTATTAAACACCTACTGTATACAAAGGACTATGTTAGCTACCATGGGGAAAGGAACGATGAATCAAATATGGTCCCAGTATTGTGTGTGCTCAGTCAGTATTGAGCTGTGCACACAGGGGTCCATATATCTATTTACTTATTTCATTTACTAGTAGGGAGAGATGAAAGAACAGTGACTTACCTGGTGGTTCTGTGCAATACTTTTTCACAAAGTGGAAAGTGGACTAAATTCACTAAATTCAATAACATATCATTGATGTTACCAAACCATCCTTTGCTTATTTCAGAAATGGGGAATTGAAGAGTTTTCCTGAAAAGCCTAAGTCTCAACAATTTGGATCATGGGGACAGTAACTGGTAGAATGAACAGCCTCATACCAAGTTGTTGTTGCTGCTTTATGCATCAGCCCCAGCCCCAAGCACCTGAGGGTAGACAAAGCTATCTGAGACCTGCCCACCAATTATACAAATATGCAATAGTCTTTCCCTTCTATTTAACTTTTATTAAAAGAAGTGCTAAGGTACTGAGATGCAGTACATCATATTTATTACCAAAATTATTAACAAATATACAAAACTTATACATGTAATTTTCTTACATCCATTTATTCTCTATAATACTGATTTTTGTTCAAGTAGATTATCTACAGTATGTAAACATCCCTTGGATTGACCTCACACAGATTAGGAAAGCCCTCTAACCCATGCTTTTATCAGATACTTCTTTTTTTGGCTTTCATTGGTAGCATCTAATCTTCACATTTGGCACATGGAAGAGACACCTACAGTGCAAAAGAGGCAGATTTTCTAGTTTCCTTCGGTTGTTTTGCAGGGGCACCGTTAAAGAGCTGAGAGAACAAGAGCATTCCAATTGGAGAGCATTGGATTCACTGCAATGTCATGAACTCTTGGTTCAGCCATTAAACTTGACCTCAAAGTCAATGCCTCTTCCTTCTCCCACCCCCCACCCTCCCCCATGCAAGGTCGATTCAGCCTTAACCTTGACCCAAAAAGGTTAAACGAAATTCCATCCACCCTCGGCCCAGCGGGTTAATTTCACCGAGGAAGAACGTTTCAGTGTTCTTTCGCGTGGATTGCTTGGTGTGGTCTGATGAGTCAGCAAAACTCTTAAATGGAGACTAAAATAAGATTAAAAAGAAAACACGGCTGTGAGAGTAGAACTTTCTACTTTCAACGGCCACCTCTGTTACAAGATCGTAGCCTCTCGGTGGTGGCAACGTGACCAAGGCTTTGGCGGGTGGACAAAGGACAGCCGAGCTGGCTGCACTCAAACTTGAACTCGACGTTAAAAAGAAGAAAATAAAAAGGTATTTGGAGATTCTGCCCCCCTCTTCCTGTGTTTCCTTTGATCCTTTAACTTAATCTAACCAAGTAAAGCTGATCCAGAGAGAGCCCTCTGCTCGCCCGCTCACCCCACTCTCACTCTCCAGCGCAGTATTGCTCACGTGGTTGCTTGCACCTCTTCCGCGAAGCCGCTGGCCAGACGGCTGCTTTTTGGACGCGCACCTGCCTCCCGGCTTCCGTCACCACAGGGGCGCGGGCCCCTCCGACGCCCCGTAGAGCTCGGCCAGCTTCCGGAAGCGGGGCCCCCAGTCTGTGAGGAAGTCGAAGCTCTGCTCTGAGTCCGACGTGGCCGACTGCAGGGAGCTCAGAGACCCCGCCACGGAGCCGTCCCCCTCAAACATGTAGGTCTGCAGGGAGTCGAAGGGGGGAGCCCACAGGTCCATGTCGGCCTCGTAGAGCTTGGCCAGCACGTAGCTGTGGACCGTGCTGTTGACGGCGCACGTCTGAGGCACGTAGCGGGAGAGGCTCTCGATCTCGGGCAGCATGTCCTGCCGCGTCTTGGGGGCGCCTCCCGCCTGCGCCTCCCGGGGGTTCCACATGGCGGCGATGTCGAATGCCTCGGTGTCCTCCTCGCCGCCGCCCTCGTCGTCGTAGCGCACGATGTTCTCGTGGATGTTCTCCTCGTCGTCGATGATGTACGGCTGCTTCCGGTGCCTCCGCAGGGACAGAATGAGCAGCACCAGCACTGCGGGGACAGAGGACCCGGTGTTACCCAGGGCCGGCCCCGCGCCTGGCCGGAAAGACTCGAGACGACCCATGTGGGAGAGTTTTGGGAATGGCGAGCTCAGAGACGGCACTCGACTGTCTTAAGTCACCGACCCCCTCGTTCTCACCCATCCGGCCATATCAGATGTGTGCAAAAGGAGCTCAGTGTTTTTTCAATGCTGCATATACGTTTTTCAATGCCCGTTACATTTTTGCAATTGCGCAAACCCCCCCTTCCCCTACCCCCCAAGCCCCCCGATCTGCGGATATAAATCCTGTTGACAAACGCTCAGCGCTATGGCTAAGGAGCCAGCCGTGACCTTGGACTCTATAAGGACTTTATCAGACTATATAAAGACTCTTAAAGGCTTTGATCATGTGGAGAATCCTGCGTTCTTAGGGTAGCATCTTAATAGGATTCTGTTTTGTAAATACAGTCACACACGTGCGCAAATGCATACAGACTAAGTGTGAGCCACAGTTTGTCTTTCTAGAGGCCAAAAAATAAAGAGCACAGATGATCACCGTTGTCAGTAAACTCACAGATTCTTCAGTCGGGACTTCTCGGATTCAGTAGTTGTTCATGGAATGGAGGGAATGAGCAGTGACATCTCACATAGTTCATCATGTTATCAAAGATGCACCATCCTGTTAGATGTGCCCTTGCGGGTTTGGATAAAATTTTATCCCAACAAATGCATTTTCCCTCAGGATGTGTTCACTGGGGTTTAAAGGAATGATAGAGATAATCCCATTGAACTATTTATCTCAGTGACTGAAAACATTTTCTAGGAAGTGTGTTGAGGTTTCAGCTGTAGAACAGTTATTGATTTTTTTTTTTTTTCTGGTGTGCTTTGTTATAGTCGTAAACAGTGACAGCTTGACAGCGGGGCAAAACAGAATCCCAGTTTACCCAGTGAGAAAAAAAAATTGGACTACAGTTGTATACCAAGTAAGATTATGGGGTGAAAAAACACAATAGTAATTAAAAAATTTGAATATAGAGCATTTTTATGAATGGTAGTTAGTGATGTTACTTGGAGTATTTTCCCTAATAGCTTCAGTGACCAGAAGCACACACAGGGAACAGTTATATACTTTTCTCTGTTTTCTCCATGTACAAAACTTTGACCTAAGAATGATAGGATTGTGAGATTTTATAGAAATGAATAGGGCTCTAAGGGAGTGGGTGGTTGAATTGGGCATTAGAGTTGGGGTATGATTTGGTTGGGAGCAGGTTAGAGAAGTGGAGTTCTAGGTGAATGTGCTGTGCTTGTGAGATTTCGTAGACAGTTATTAATCTCAGCTGTTTTTTAGGCATTGTTCTAAGGGGTGGGGGAGGTTTTGTGATTTTTGCATCTAAGAAGACTATAGGTACTTGCTACTAATACAGGTCAGGCAGTGATACAGGCTGTCTTAGAGTTACAAGTATTGAGAAGAGGACCTGGTCATCCTTCCTTGGGAATTGGGCAGGGCGATGTTGCAGAACATGCTAAGAGGTAAAGTTAGAAAGAATTCTAATGGTGAGGGAGAGCTGGGTAGATTGAAGAACTGTTCTATCTCTTGAAAAATAAAGTTTGCCACATGTCTTATAAACAGGTATTATATTGTGCCCTTGACACAAGCTATGTAACGTCTATCGTCTGACAGATTCCGGGTAGATCGGGAAAAGCTCTGAAAAATCAGACTTTCCACTGCTAACTCATGTTATGACTTCCCTTTTTTGTATAACCGTAATATCAAAATATTCTGAGCAACTTTCAGCTTACAATTGGACTGCCTCAGCTGTACAAGGCCTGCCTGCCCTGACAAGCAAGCACTGCACCAGGGTGAAAAATTCCCCTGAAGTCAAGTGACTTGACTACTGACTGATAAATAAAAACAAAAGGGCTGTTTTTGCAAAGTTTCTCTCACTGCTGGATGGAGGAAAACCCAAATCTTATCATTCTATTATCTCACCTAGCCTTCTATTCAGCTTCTGAAGAATTACTCAAACTTCCTATTGTCTGGCCTTTAGATGTGGAAATTCATCCAGGTTGCCTGTTTTTAAACTAGTCAAGTTTCCCACCTGCTACACCTTAAAGGAATCCACAAAAGTCTTCTTGCTAGTTTTTCAGGATTCTACTATGTAGTCTTCAGATAAGGAAATCCACCTATGTCTCCTATTCAGAGATTTTATTAGCAAGGAATTTCCTCTTCTGTCTTCCAGGATGATTCAGGCAGAAAAACAAAAACCCATTGAGTAGTAGATAAGGTTTAAGGGACTACTATCTTAGTTGATAGTAATATTAGTCATAAACTTTGTGCACCTATGTACCTGTTTTTAACCTTGATTGATTTTGGAATGTTATATCTCAGCTAAAGGGCAATAGGACCCTAAATTGTTCCTAGAAAAAAAAGATGATTGTACTCTCTCAGCCCAGTTCCTGTGCTGATGTCATCCCACTGCTTGCTCCTAATGTATAAAATAAACCTCTGCTGAAGGCAGAGCAGGAAGACTTGCACCCAACTCCAACTCCCGTGTCTTCCTCGCCCCCCCTTTCCCCTTTTTCTCCTTACCCCCTTTTTAGGAATCGCCACTTGCCGACGCCTTCCCACCTTAGGTTCCTGCCTATCTTGCCTCCAGACACCTCAATAGTTGGAGCTGGTCTCCAACATGCCCTGAAATCAAATTTTGGGGATAATGGTCCTGTTTAGCTGAAAGACTTACTTAACAGAAGAGGTCAGCTCTCAGGATGGTTATTCTTTAACTACCATAGACACAGTGTATGGACTTAGAAGATTTTCTAGGATCTTGAAAGTCATTTGACATGGAGAATATACTGCGAAGTGAAAATAAATGTTTAGTTAATTGTCCACAAACTAGTGTTCTGTTGATAAATCAGCAGCAACTCCTATCTCTCAGTTTTATGAATCATATGTAGTGCGAAGTGTATGCTCTTAGAAATAGGAGTGCCTAAATTTGTGAGAAATATATGATCTTAGAAATAGGAGTGCCTCAATTTGTGAGAAATATATGATAGCTCTGTGCAATGTAGCTCCTGATAACTATACTATGTAATTCAAACGATAAGACATACGGTGTTTGGGAGGCACAGAATGAACGGTGCACTGCTCACCGTGTCTAACTTGAGAACCTCATGTACCAATCTTAAAACCAGTCTTTAAAGTGACTCCTACCTCTTTGTGGGCCAGAGTGACCTTGGAGCGTAGACATTTTGTCAGTCTGGAAATTTCTCCTGGGAGCATTTCTTCAAAGTCCTATTACAGGTTATCCAGTAATATACTCAAGGATTCCCATTGCCACCTTATGGACACTCAGGGAATTGCAGGGAGGTTTCAGTTGCTTCAGTGACCAGAATACCTTAACAATTCTCTTTGATTCAAAAATCTTAAAACTTAGAAAGGTTACTTATTTCTACTGCCTTTCTCTTTTTCTCTTCATATATTACTGAACTAAAATAAAAATAAGCCACATATTGTGGATTAAATGCTTTTCGGAAAGCACATTCCATGGACTTAGAAATTCAAATTAAGTGCTGACATTTCCTTAGAAAGTTAAGAACTCTTTCTTTGGTCTGCCCCAGGCTCATCCTGTGGAACCTGGATCAGGCTCAGGTGGTGATCTGCATGTGTATTTCGTGGAAATCCCTAGTGCTTTACTTTATCCCTCCATAGAATAACACTGCTGCCTACAAGTCTGTTCTCAAAGCAGTATTATATACACCGATTCAGTGTGCATAATATGTATAACATCCACACATCCACACACTGATTCAGCAGAGTTGGAATATATGTACAGTATTTTCTTAGTTTTAGGAGTTGGTTCAGGTGTTAAAGTCTTTGTGTTTCAGTGTGGAGCTTGCAAACATTTGCAGCAGGTCTTAAATACAAGGGAGCAGTTGGCTGCCTTGCAGTAGGACTTGAGAGGAGGTACCTCCTGCCCTCATAGTGCTCTCTCTCCAGCCTGTCATCACATCCTCACATCTTTTTCATTTCGCCAGTCACTACTCCTTGCTAGATGACCTCAGAGCCTGGGAGCGTGCTAGCTTCTCTCCAATAATCTAGTGGTTCCCTCCCTCCTCTCAGAAATGTGCTCACAGGTCTTCTTATTGCTGAGACATCCCTGACCAGCCTATATAAAATGGCACCCACCCCTCAAGGTGGGGTCTGCCTGCACTTCAGGCCTGGCTCCGCCTCTCATGTTTGACTGTGGGCCTGTCACTACCTCTTTGTGATTTAACTACTACTACCCGAAATGGGGAGGTAGTAGCAGTAATCATATCTTGTCTAAAATTGCCATTCTGGTTCTAGGATGTCAAAAGGAACTTCCTTTGTTCTGAACTGAGCTCCATGAAGGCAGGGGTGAGACTGCACATAAATCCCAGCATGTACAGCAGTGCCCTAGCCCAAAAAAGCTGCTTGAAAAACCTCTGCGCTTTGACCTGACCTGAGAGGCCATGGATTTCTTGGAGTTTCTTTTAGTTTCTTTACTTTTTCCTGGCTTTACTCTCCTGCCTTTTCAACCAGCACGGGGTAGAAGCCAGTTCTGAAGAGCTGCACAGGGATGATGACTGTGCTGAGGAAGCTCTCGCAGGACCCCACAGAGCAGAAAGGAGCCACTTACCCAAGAGGACGAAGATGCAGGCCAGGATGGCGATGAGGGCGCCCCGGCTCAGGCTGACTGGGAGCGTGTAGGCCTCGGGGCTGCAGGACAGGACGTGGCCGGCATCGTCACAGCTGCACACCTGGATGGTCAGTGTGCCCGTGCTGCTCAGCATTGGCTGTCCATTGTCAGAGATCAGGATGGGCAGGTAGAAGACACTCTGCTCTTGCTGCCGAAAGCCAGACCTCCTGGTGAGGACCCGGGCGGTGTTATCTGAAGAAGAGAGGGGTTCCACTATTGACAAGGGAAGAGGAAAAATGAGAGGGAATAAAAAGTGCAAAAACCAACGAGTGAATCTTTTCTTGGATTGAGGTAAGCTGCGAGGCCCAACAATTTGTGGGAAGTGGGGAGAAGTAGAGTCCAACATTGCCTGCGGGCCTTCAGCTACAGCCACAGAGGGTTTGTCTGGATCAGCATTTGGATTCAGAAAGCAAGATTTTTCCTTGCTTCTGGGCAAAACTGGGAGGCCTAGGAGAGAAAGCCTTTTTGAGAGTCTCTCTTACCCTTTGTGACATAAAGTGCCCAGGGCGGACTGTCAGACTTCACATCTAACTGAAATGTCCCTGGAAAACCTGACAGAAATGAACAATCCTTGGTGACTTGTGGTCCCTGTTTGATCCTGCTCAGCAGCTTTCCAAGGCCCCCACGCTACTTTGTGCCTCAGGAAAAGAACAGCGAGGAGCCAACACTGTGGCGGTTGCTTATTTTTGCCCCTTTGGCTGGAGTTTACGGCTCTTTCCTTCTGTGCCTGCGAGATGTGCCCCCCGCCCCTTTCGAGCTTTCTCCACGACCTGCTCATCTAGCAGAAGCAGATGAAATCTCAGACACACCCTGCTTCCCCATTTGGCGGCCCAAGCTTATACCGTTCATATGAGCTTGATGAAAACTCATTTCTGATCCGCAGTTGACTTTTATTTTCTCCAGTTTTAAAGGGGATTAGCAAAGCTCTCAGATGTGTTTCTCCAAAGCTGGTATTTGTGTGTAAGGTCATATTTGCCTAATGTCATGTTTTGGGGCTTCGTTTCCTCAAGGGACTTGAGCTATAATCAGATCTGTTTTTTTTTTTTTCTTCGCAAAGCTTAGATCATATTCATCAGAGACAAAAGAGACAAAGTTTAAGAGAGCTGTTTGGATACACAACTGTGAACTGTTCTCCACATGTGTCTGCAAGAGCCCGATCTAGTGAACATTGTTGATCCCACTATCAACGCTCTGGCATCCTTCCCTTCAGAACTGGGGTACAGGCCAGAGATGCGGAGGGTGAGAGGCTTCACCAGGAACAGAGTGGGGAGCAGAACAGGCAGATTGACGAAGTACACTGCTGAGGGGAGCAGCGGGCGGGTCAGGAGAGGTCTGCCTCGCCATGTGGGTCACCTCTAAGGCAGGCGGGACTCGAACTCATGCGGAAGTGGCTTAAGCTTCTTAGTGTTGTGCTTTAACCCACTGCGCCACCAGGGAGGGCCCACGTGTGTGTTTTTTGATGATGCAAAATGAGCAAACGTGATTTGTGCATTTCCAGATAGGTGCATGTCAGAGGGGGTGTGTGACTCTCCCAGCTCCGCCCCCATGTGTAGCACTAGAAATGGTGACCCACGCTGCCTTGGGCACTTGGGTAGCTGTCGTCAGTCTCTCAGTCCTCCGATGGCTTTATGTGAGTAAGAAATTGACTTTACTGGGTTGAGCCCCTGACATTTTGGTGGCTGCACAGAGCCTCCTCTAAGGACATTATCATTCGTTTCCAGCTCCCAAGTTCTTCCCCTGATTTTGTTTATTGAGTTTTTATATGAAACGTAACATTTCATCTTCAAGGTACCTTGATGAGACAGTGGAAATTTTATCCTTTCACAGTGAGTGAGTTAAAGCCTAAAGTGTGTATATAATTTGCTCAAAGTCACTAATTTAATTAGTAGAAGAGCCACTCTGGCCTCTGACTTCAGAGTGTGCCCTTCCATTGTGTCATGTAACCACAATGGCTTAGTGACACTAACTGTCAGTGTCATTCAGCTAATTAGAATCATTTTGGTTCAGGTGTCTTTCCTCTTTTCCTTACTCAGTGGAGAAAGCCAACGTAAAGATTCTATCATTATTCCACCTCCCATACAACCCACCTGCTTTTTAGTTTTCGAGACTTACAGCTAAGTGCTGTTATTAAAAAAAAAAATAATATAACAGTTCATTTTTACATCATTTTGTGCATTTTTGTCATCAGAGTTGTAATCCCTGGCAGCTTCCCATCACCAAATCACCCAGTACTGTTAATTTTGTCATAGGTTTTTTTTTTTTTCCAGAAGCCAACTTTTCCTTCAATTTTTAATATATGTGTGTGTGTATATATATATACACACTTATATATATCATATATAATAT